AACTCGAATCGGAGATCGAGCGACATTTGGCCAGAAGGACCTAAACGAGAATCGAAGGTCTCGACAATGGTATTTCAACGGTAAAAAGTTTGGCAAAAACCGACGTCAGATAAAGAAGTTATGAATTTTTAAAAGAAATTCCTTAATCACGTCATTTTAATAAATAAATAATAAAAATAATTTTGGAATTTGCCAATGGAATCTAAACGAAAGTTGTAGAGCGTAGTCTCACCTACGCGTGGATATAAAGACCATCGAAAACGGAGTTCGTATGAAGAAGATATGGATTTTTGAAGTTTATTAAATAAGTTATATATTTATTTAATTCAAAATTCAAGCATAATCCGAGGTACGCGCTGCGTACCCCTGTACGCCCTGCGTACCCGAGGAACTTGGTCTCAAATCGGCCACGTCGCCCTATGCGAGGCTACCGACCCGCCCGTCCGACCCGCCGTCCCATCCGACCCGGCAGACTGATCCGTCCCATCCGAAGCCGAGGCAGTCGAGGCTTCGGTCACGCATGACGTACGCGTACGCGCTGCGTACGAGCGTACGCCCCGCATACGAGGCTTCTCAGGCCCCCTATAAATAGCATGCGAAGGCTTCCGAGAAAAATGCTCATTTCTCTCCTTTCTTTCACGATATTGCCTCGTTTTCCATGCCCGTTCAAACCCGAAGCTCTGGTCTTTTTGCTCAAGCCCCGAGGGTCGATTTTACTCCCGAGATTCCCGAGAATCCTGAGAAAAATCCGTTTCCCGAGACGAAACTCTGCCCGGTTTTCCATCTCGCTATCTCCAAACTTTCAAGTGAGTTCATACCCCTTAATTTACCTTTTAAAGGTTCTATAAATTCTTTTATATGCTTTCAAGGGGGGGGGGGGGGGATTACAAGTAAAACACACGAGTATTATCATGTCTTACATAAAGAACTCTTTGATATGTATCCAAATCACATGCGATTTACAAACTTTTAAGGAACTTTCACATATATATATATATATATATATATATATATATATATATATATATATATATATATATATATATATAACATATGTTAAAATAGCATTCTATCTTTTGAAATATAAATTTGTTGTAATGCATGTATAAACTAAACCTTCTTAGATTATACTTATCATTCTTAGACTCTACACCAAAAATCTATGCTTTCATAACAAATGATTCCTTTTCTTGGTATTTCTAAACAAACGAGACACACTTTTAGAAAACTATAATAGGTATAGTTTTACGAACAAATTTCTAACTCTTATGTACTAGAAACATGAATTTCAAGAAGTCACTTTCGTATACAAAAATAAACGTAACATTTTAACAAGTAGATCTGTTTTTATACCACGGTTTTGTGAGACACTAACTTCATGTACGTTCGAGTACACATTTCAAGTCATGTATTATATACCAGAATCCCTTGGAGGGGGAGCATGGTGTTTGTGTATAGATCTATACGGGCTTGACAACCCGCACCCTGACTGTTAGCTGCAGTCCACCATTTGGGGTGACAAACGTCATAACATTCCAACGCCTGAAGAACGTTGAGTATAGGCATTCCGAGTCAATAGTATGGTTATAAAACTCACATGGGGTATTAAAAATGCATTGATTTACAAGGTTTTCAAACACATTAGTTGTTTTTACTCTTACATACATTTTTAAAAACAAACATTGGTCTTGAGTGAAGGCTACTTTTATACTAGTAGAAAATATAAGATTTTCTAAACACAAACAAAGACAAAACATTTCATTTCATACAAACATTGTCACTTAAATACTTATGAAACTCACCAGCTTAAATGCTGATCTACTCTTTCAAAATCACTTGTATGTCCCAGGAAATCAGTAAATTCAGGTATTCATTACGCTTCCGATGAAGGGATGCTGCGGCGCCGGTTTAATCTTGTATTTTAACATCGTATTGTAATTGGTTTTGAACATGTAACTTTTGACAAATGTAAACTTTCAATTATATATATATATATATATATATATATGTTGGTTGTATTGCTTTCTTTAATATGTATTCATTTGTTACGCTACCACATGAAGTCATCCACCCCGAACGTTTCCGCCGTTCAGGTTTGGGGGTGTGACAGACTTGGCGAGTCTGGTCGTAGGGTCCAAGTTTCTTTTGGGAAGGCTATGACTCGGTGAGTCAAGGGATGCCTCGGCGAGTTAAGTCGCGAATTGAAGGAGGTTTTGTGTATGGGGACTCGGCAAGTCATCGGGTTGACTCGGCGAGTAGAGTCAGTCAGGGGTAGATTTTGACTTTGACTTTAACCAAGGGTTGACCAGTTGACTTCCAGGGGCATTTTGGTAATTATTGGCTTTTGTTTTGAGTTCAGTATTGGTGTTAGCTAGTGGTGAAGTTCGGGTCGGAGATTTCAGCAGCGTGATCTTATCCTTTCAGTCAGCAGTTGCGAGGTGAGTTATCCTCACTATATCAATAGGGTCTAAGGCACCAAGGCCGGCCCTTTATCGGATTGAGATCCGGGTATCTGTTGTTATGTTATTGCTTTGATATGTTGCATCCTGGTAGTTAGGATGGTATTCGTTAGAGACCTGGTTAAGGTCGGTATCCTGGTATATAGGATGGTGCTATGCTAGTGACCGGTTAGGTCGGGATCCTGCCTAGAGTATGTTGTGTTACGTGATCTGTTAGATCGGTTTGATTAAATGAGAATTTGTTATGTGATTGAATGTTTATGTGCACATGGTTGTTTGGACTGGAGTTGGGTTGAGGCGGGTCCTACTTCGTGCTGTAGGCCAAGATACCCAGGGCACACCGGTTGTTCCGAAGGCCCAGCGAGCGGTTCGGATAGTCTGTAGGCACCAGAAGGGCGGACCAGACGTGCCGAGGCTCGGAGAGTGGACCAGGCCAACTGAAGGCCCGATGCGGGCGGACCAGTCATACTGTAGAGTCAGAGAGTGGACCAGGTGGGTTGAAGGCCCGGTGCGGGCGGACCAACCACACTGCAGACTCAAGGGATATGACTAGACGAAGGGTGGACCAGGTGGACTGAAGGCCCGACACGGCGGACCAGTCCGACAGCAGACCCGATATGCATGGCCGTTCTGTGATTCGATATGATATAGCATGTTATGTGTATGGTATATGTGGTTGGTATTTTAGGGGTATCTCACTAAGCTTTCGGGCTTATAGTTGTGGTTTTATGTTTTTCAGGTTCTTCAGGAGACCGTGGCAAGGCAAAGGCGTGATTGTACCGCTCCTCGTGTTTATGTTTTATGATATGGATATGGGAATACTCTGATAATAAATGTATTGAAAACCTTTTTGTAATAACTTAATGAATTGGGATGTTTTTGAAAAGTTTAAATTTTGTTGAAATTTTTGGTCGTTACAACATTGTCGTTTGGGGGGCGACTCACACTTATCCAATCGGTGTTGGTAATGTACCTACATACTACCTTTCTATCTTTAAGGCCCCATGTGGGGTAATTAACAACCATGAAAAGATCAAATGAAGTTTTTATCGGGAGGGGGGGGGGGGGGGGAGGTAGCACCGATAAGTTCAAAATCAATTGGGTTTCGTGGGACAAAGTTATAGCTCCTAAAAAGATAGGTGGACTTGGTGTGGGATCTCTACAATCACTGAATCTAGCCTTAATGGCTAAGTGGTGGTGGATATACAAGTTGGATAATATGTCGTTATGAGCCCAAGTGATTACTGCTATCCACAATCTGAAGAATAAACCAGCAGATTACTTATCAAGGAAGACTATACCGGGGGTTTGGAATAATATAGCACGGACAAAACGTGATTTAGAGAATTGTGGCTTACATTTTAATGATATTATCCAAAATAAAGTGAATTCAGGTGCCAATACACTATTTTGGTTGGACAACTGGGTTGATGGAGGTAAGCTAAAGAACAGATTCGCTGGTCTATACTGAATAAAGATGAACAAAAAATGCACGGTGGCGGACAAAATTAACGCACATGGGTTCAATTTGGACTGGGCTTGTGAAGTACGTGCGGCGGGACTGTCACATGAGCTTGCCTAAATCAATGCAGTTGTGGGTCTTTTCACACCTGGCGTTGCAAGTGATGGGTGACAATGTGGTCTTGATTCCAACAGGGTCTTCTCTACTGTTGTGGTACGCACTAAACTGATTGCTACATTCCCTAGTTTCCCTCTTCGTTGCATTTCTTGGTTTCAGGAGGTCCCAATCAAAGTCCTTACTTTTGTATGGAGGACCAAAATAGGTAGGATCCCGTCTTGTATAACTTTAAATCAACGTGGAGTGACTTTGGACTGCTTATCTTGTGGATACTGTAATGGGGTTGATGAGTGTGCAGACCATATTTTGACAGGATGTAATTTTGCTAGTGTAACACGTGAATAAATGTTCAAGTGGTGTGATATTGTAGTTAGGGATTTCATCAGTGTTGATGACTTACTTGACTTCGTGTCTTCATGGGGAACTATCCTAAAAACAGGAAAATACTTATTCTAATTTGTTATGGGATGTTTTGGCTTGTGTGGAAAGCGCGCAATGAGTGGGTGTTTAAGAATGGCAAACCTTCTCCTACTCTGGTGGCTGATCACATTAAATCCTTGGTGTACGTTTGACTGAAACATAAAAGGAGTAAACAGACGATTAAGTGGGTTGATTATAGTATTTCTCCATTTCTATGTTTGTAATTATACTCAATTTAACTTCTCTTGTACTTTTTCTTTGCCCCTTAGGGAAGACGGGGTCGTAACGGTTCAAGGAGTAGAGGGAGGAGAGCATGATAGAAAGAGAGGGGTGTTGCGATTTGAGGAACCCAATGAAGGTTGAAACCAAAGCAAGAATTTAAGGAAGACGGGTTGGGAGGCATCCGGTTTGGGCGGGTTTGACTCCCTCCACAGTGGGTTCGGCGGCTTCGGTTTAGCCGGTTAATTTATCAAAAAATTATCAAAAAAAATATTAGAAAGGTCACGACAAATCATATACAGACGCGTGGCAGATACTCATTATCGAATAGAATTTGGTTTACCCCTTTTTCTCTCTCTACCATTATCTCGCTCAGAAAATATCCAAACTCGAAGTGCAAGAAAACGAACAGTAAAAGAGAATGGGAAATGCATTGAGGTTTCTTTATGGCCAATGCTGTTCCGAGCCACCAACCACCACCACTACATACGGCAGTGCTGGTGATCAACAACTTGGCCACCACGGCGTTTCTTCAACCAGCGTCGGTGTCTCCGCCCTTGCCCAGCACCTCTATCACTTCGAAATCACCTCCCAGGTACCTCACTTCACTCTCGTAACATAGATCTATCACAATCACCCCTTTTCCACCATAATTCACCACAAATTGTTTCTAAAACCTACCAACAAAATCCATCTGAGCTTTTACTTGGAGTCAATTTATTGAAAAAAAAAACTCAATTCGATCTTTATTATTTATAGGTTCCTGAAGGTCTGAGTGAGCATGTGAGTTCATCCAAGAAAGCTCAGTCCAATTGGTAAAATTTCCAACAATCACTACCCCTACATTTCACTTTCTACCTTTTCAAACTCAAATAATCGAAATCAAAACTCAACTCTAGTTTTAGGACCTAGGGGTATAAATGTAAAAAGGCGTGGAATTTTTTAATCGTTATTAGTTGGTTTTTTTTTGACACTTGAACAAATGAATTAAAGGTATAAGAAACTATCGAAGGCATGGAGGGAATCAAAACCTCCACCAAAGACACCTGAGGAAGCTTCTAGGCTTGTAATTCGCACCCTACAGAGACACCAAAGACCTGATATCGAGGTTCTTTTTTTACCCAAAACTTTTTTTTAAGGTAATGCAAAATGTCCATTCTAGCCTTATGGCCAATGGGCATGAAGGGACGTTTATTTTGTGAGGCAAGGACAAATCAGAATGTACTGAATGTTGTAGATAAAAGTTAAAAGTGAAAGGTTTATAGAAAAAAAATCTCTCGTCATTTCAAAAGACATAAATGCTCTCGTTTTCCTTAACATAAAAAATACTCTGACAGTTGTATTTGTCTTTTCAAAGGGTATATTATCATTCTACGGTCTCCCACTTCCGCACTCGCTAGTTGAACTAACCGCGGGTGATGCTCCACCGCTTGCTGACGGTCTCAAATTCGAATTACACACACTTCCCGTAAGAACTCCCTACTACAGTGATACTGACACTGACAATGATAATGACAGTCTAAACTTGATAATAATTTTGCAAATTGTGACTTAATTTAAAAAAGGTGGATGCAAGGGCAGTAGCAGACGGAGACACTGTAACGGTCTATGTCAGTACCTCAGATGCACGAGAGTCATCGCGTGTCCCACAAGAAGTACACATGGCGGCAGTAGAACGCAACGAAGCTCGGGCCCACAAAAACTACACCAAAGCAGATGCATTGCAGAAGCAAATCAAAGATGCAGGCTATGGGTACATTAATGTGACACAAATCTAGCTTTTTAACTTTGACAATAATGACAATGTTTTTTTTTTTATTTTTTTTTTTATTTTGTGTGAATTGGGTTATATTATATGATATAGGGTGCTACATATCAATAACGAGGAAATTCTAGCACGAAAGTATAGGATCAGACTAAGGTATTTCATATTTCCATATTTGGATTATAAATAATTAATTTTGTGAAGCGTTTGTATTTTGAGGTGATATGAGTAAATGGAAACAGGGGAATAGATGCACCTGAAAGTGCGATGCCTTATGGGAAAGAGGCGAAGGATGAATTGGTGAAGATAATTGATGGGAAGTGTTTGAAGATTTTGATTTTTGATGAAGATCAATATGGGCGTTTTGTTGGGGATATTTACTGTAATGGCATATTTGTGCAGGTGATTTTGATGCTGATTTAGTACCTAAATTTGTAAAGAAACTAATATGGAAACTCGATTCGAATTTCCACAGGAGTTAATGTTGAAGAAGGGACTTGCATGGCACTACACTGCCTATGACAAAAGGCCGGAATTAGAGAAGGTAAGTTTAGTTATATGTGATTGTGTTAAGAAAAATAATGAGGTTTTGTTTTGAGGTTTGAAATGGGGGAATTGGTTTTGATGATGTTAGTGGGAGAAAAGTGCAAGGGCTAAGAGAATTGGGTTGTGGGCTTCATCGAATCCTGAAATGCCATGGGAATGGAGGAAGAATCGCCGTGAACATAGATAGTTTGGTTGGATGGAATGGAATGGCGAAGGAATGGAATGAGTCGTTACATTCCAATCATGTTTGGTTGGTTGGCTGGTTGTAGGAATTAACTGATTTTTCATATGAATTTCTTTATCTTATTTGTAAATACAAGGTATAGTTTTTATACTATTCTATATATTGTTTAATTATAAATAATGAGATTTAACTCACAAGGATAAAAATTTCAATAAAAGCTCATTAAAATTTAAGTTATAATATAAAATTGTAATTTAATAAAAAAAAACATGTCATTAAAATTTACATACATAAAAATAGGTTATATTGCAATTTTTCGTTACGGTCCATGATGTAATTAAAAAAAGCCACACACACTAGATAAAGAATTAAAATTAACAAAATAAAAGGAATCATATTTTTTTAGGAACGATAGATTCTATTAGTAGGACAACAAATAGATTTTTTTCATTCCTATGGAATGAACAATTCCATTCATCTCTTTCTTTTTATTTCCTTACATTCCCTATCTATATTTTTCTCTCACAAAGAAACAAATCTCTGCGACATAAACAATTGATAGCAGAAAAACAACCACAAAATACACCTACATAATCAAAACAACAGTTGCAAATGTAACAAAAGATGGATAAAAATGTCATTATAAATTTGTAAATACCAAAATCTCATATTGTGTGCATATTATTTCAACAAGGAAATGAATTAAAAAAACAATCATACTTCTGGATAGAGTTACAAAAACACACTAATTTCAAAGCACAAATAATATGAGAGAAATTGATCGTAATGTTCTCGTGTATTGTTCTGAAATGAACTGATTACTTATATACAAAGCTAACAAAGGAGGAGCTTCAAACAGAATTAGCTACCTCTACGTATTTACATTTATAACCCCTTAACTATTACAAATTACAAATGTAACCTTTGAATATAGAAACTTAACATCTTCCCCTTAAGATGGACGTTGATGAATGTCATCAAGGTTCATCTTGAATAAAAGAAATTGAAACTGAGGTCCACATAAGCCTTTTATAATATCCGGTTAAAAATCTTCTAGTATCTATACAGGTGGCCCAATCAGAATCATTATATGCAGTAATTGTCAAAGGCAAAGATCCTATTCTGAAAAATAATCCTTTTTGATGGACTTCCTTTCAGATAATTCAACACATGTAAAACAGCTTCCCGGTGTATTTTTGTTGGAGAATGTAAAAAATTGGCTCAATTGTTGAATTGCATAGCTGATGTGTATGGCCTTGTAAAATTGAGATACAATAATCTTCCAACAAGTATTTTTTTATTTTTCAGGATCATTTATAATTTTTCCTTTGTCTAAACAAAGTTGAATATTCTTTAAGACATGTGTAATAGTTGATTTAGCTCCACAAAGTCTAGTATCATCTAGAATATCCATGATGTATTTTCTTTGATTGGCATACAATCCTTTCTCTGTTTTTAACAACTCTACTCCCAAGAAATAACTTGCTTGTCCCAAATCTTTAATCGTAAAAGCTTTGTGGAGTTGTTCTTTAACTTCTTTTATCATCTCTTCATTTGGAACAATAATTAACACATCATCCATATAGACAACTAATGCAAGAAAGTTATCTCCTTCTTTTAATGAAAAGACAATGATCATGAGAAGATTGTTTAAATCCAAAGCTTAAAAGCTTATTACAAAACTCAATATGCCATTGTCCATAGAGAGATTTGTTTAACTTGCACACTTCTCCTTCTTTGACATTATAGTAACCTTGTGGTGGCTTTAGATAGATTTCTTCATCTAGATAACCATATAGAAATGCATTGTTAATGTCCAATTGGTGTAAGAACCAAACATTATCAGTAGACAATGAGAGAAGTAATCTAACAGTTACTATTTTGGCCACTGGTGAAAAGTTGTCTAAATAATCAATGACATTGGTTTGGTTATAACCTTTAACAACTAATCTGTGACATCCCTAAAATCTCGGCCAGAAAAGAGCGATTTCATTTATGCTTCTTAAAATAATTTCAGAGTAAATCATTTTGATTTAAAAGAGTTGCGGAATTTGTTCCCAAAAACAAAATATGATAAGATAATATTTATAAAAGCATTTCATCAAGAGATGCATTTTCATTATATAATCAAAACTCGGGGTGTCATGTTCTGATACAGACCATAAAGCATAAACAATAACATTACAAGTCATTCAACAAATATATACATATGCAGACTTGTAAACAAAACAACTTGATGATTCATCCATCTTATGCTCTTGCGCCATTTCCTGTAATACAAATAACCATATAGGGTTTTCAACCCACAATAAATAATTATATTTAATTTCACCAACCAACAATAACCCGATTACCCATTTCCGTTATCCTCAATTTATGTCCCTAAAACAACATCTATCTCAAGGGACCAAATCTAGGATTTTCATCGGGACGGACATTATTGCTAAGGGGTTTCCTCAACAATAGATATCCTAAAGACAACCATGAGGGGGATAGAGTACACTGGTGAGCACATCGTTCACAACACCTGCAGGTTATGAATCTGCTAGCGTTCCACAAGACTGTCTAGAAAGAGTCTGTGGTCTCAAGTGGAAACTATTATTGTATGAAATATCTACCAAAGGTAAATGTTCATCCCAGTTACCTTGGAATTCTAGAGTACATGCTCTCATCATATCTTCAAGTGTTTGTATCGTCCGTTCGCTCTGACCATCAGTATGCGGATGGTAAGCTGTACTTAAACACAACTTGGTACCCATTTCCTCTTGTAGACTTTTCCAAAACCTCGAGGTGAAACGGCTATCACGATCCGATACAATCGTTAACGGAACACCGTGAAGCCTCACAATTTCCTTCACGTAAGAATTCGCAAGCTTTTCCATAGACCATTTCTCTTTGGCTGCTATGAAATGCGCACTCTTAGTGAATCGATCAACGACCACCCAAATCATGTCGTGACCATTCTTTGTTCTGGGCAGTTTAGTGACAAAATCCATAGCAATGTCTTCCCACTTACCCATAGGCACAGGCAATGGTTCTAAACTCCCGTATGGTTTCTAATGTTGTGTCTTGACTCTCGCACAAATCACACACTCAGCCACATACTTTGCAACATCAAACTTCATCGTCGGCCACCAGTAGTAGGGTTTCAGGTCCTTATACATTTTAGTGCTACCGGGATGAATCGAGTACATGGTCTTGTGAGCTTCTTCCATAAGAAGATATCTGACTCCTCCTATCTTAGGTATCTAAATCCGATCTTGGAACACCTTCAGTCCATGACTGTTTATACCGAACACCAACATTTTGCCCAAACGTTCCTCATTTCGTTCATTCTTCTCAGAAGCTTCCTCTTGAGCTTTCTTTATACTTTCCACAATGGTCGAGACAACTTCAATTCTTAACGCTCTTGGCCTTTTTCTTTCAAGAATGACTTTCCGACTGAGAGCATCAGCAACAACATTCGCTTTACCAGGGTGGTAAAGTATCTCACAGTCGTAGTCCTTAAGTAATTCTAGCGAGCGTCGTTGCCTCATATTGAATTCCTTCTGACCAAAGAGATATTGGAGACTCTTATGATCAGTGAAAAGTTTGCACTTCGTTCCATAGAGGTAATGCCTCCATATTTTCAAAGCGAAAACTACCGCTGCTAACTCCAAATCATGAGTCGGGTAGTTCCTTTCATGCTCTTTCAATTGTCTAGACGCATATGCGATCACCTTATCTCTTTGGGTCAAAACACAACCCAATCCAACACCAGACGCATCGCTATAAATAGCGAAGTCTTCAACTCCATCGGGTAGAGAAAGTATTGGTGCCTCGCATAGTTTCTTCTTTAGCATCTCGAATGCCTCTTTATGCTTATCGTTCCAAGCATAAGTCGCTCCTTTGTGGGTCAAAGCTGTTAATGGGCTAGCGATCGAAGAAAAGCCTTAGATAAACCTTCGGTAATATCCGGCTAATCCCAAAAAGCTTCGGATCTCCGTGGGACTTTTTGGTTGTTCCCACTTCATCATGGCCTCAGTCTTTGTTGGATCAACCATTATCCCTTCTTGGTTGACCACGTGACCCAAGAATTGGACTTCTTGAATCCAAAAATCACATTTGGAGAACTTTGCATACAACTTCTCCTTCTTCAAAACTTCTAACACTTCTCGCAAGTGTTTGCCATGCTCTTCTTGGCTTTTTGAATAAATCAGAATATCATCTATGAACACTATCACAGATTTATCTAGGAACGGATTACAAACCCTGTTCATTAAATCCATGAATGCTGCTGGAGCATTGGTTAGTCAAAACGACATAACCAAAAACTCATAGTGCCTATATCATTTTCTGAATGCAGTCTTCGCTATATCCTGCTCTTTTACTTTCAGTTGATGATATCCCAACCTAAGATCGATCTTCGAGAAATAGCTCGAACCTTGAAGTTGATCGAACAGGTCATCAATCCTCGGCAACGGATATCTATTCTTTATTGTTGCCTTGTTCAGCTCTCTGTAATCAATGCACATTCTCATACTTCCATCCTTCTTCTTCACGAATAACACTGGAGCTCCCCAGGGTGATGAACTAGGTCTAATGAAATCTTTGTCCAATAACTCCTGAAGTTGCATCATCAGCTCCTTCATCTCCGTTGGTGCTAATCGGTAAGGTGCTTTTGCTATTCGTCCCTGGCAACAAGTCTATTCTAAATTCCACTTGTCTATCAGGCGGTAATCCGGGAAGATCTTTGGGAAATACTTCTGGATAATCACATACGACATGAATGCTTTGCATCGCCTTTTTCTCCTTCTTAGCATCGATCAAGAATGCTAGATACGATGTACATCCTTTGGCCAAACACTTTCTGGCTTTCATAAATGAAATGATTCCAGAATTTACTCTGCGTTTATCTCCATACACCATAAACGACTCTTTCCTAGGCTGGTTTACTTTGACTATCTTCTTCTTGCACAATATTTCAGCGTCATTGGCGCTAAGCCAATCCATTCCCAAAACGATGTCGAAACCGTTAAGTTTGATAGGCAATAATTCTTCGTGGAACTTATTCCCATTCAGATCAATTAAGATGTTTTTCATACCATAGCTAACAGGTACAAACTTGCCACTAGCAACTTCGACTAATAAAGCATTATCTAGTTTATCAACAGGCAAAGCTAGTTTTCTACCAAATTCATGCGAAATAAAGGAGTAGTTGGCTCCAGAATCAAATAAAAT